AACCCACTTTCAATAAAGATGAATGTTTCCACGGTGAAATGCTTCTTTAAATGCAGTCAAAGTGAATGTACAGTGTTTTTATGTGACGATGAAACCATATTATCATCACTTCTTGCTGCTGTTAATATTTCTCCAGACGTAATTCAAAAGATGATCTATAGAACTATTTCATGTATACATGTGTATGTATATAAATAACTGTATGTACTGGTTTATTGTTATTCTAATATATTTGTTAAATCTGAGAAAATGTGAGTCAAGTGACATCACCTGAGTGTCTAGGCTTGAGACCACACATTTCATTACAAACTGGGGGCGTGGGTCTTTACCAGGCATGGACGGGCTCATGAAAGATGCTATCTGGTTGCATTATGGGATATGTAGAATTCAGCATTATTAGGAGCTTGATTCCTAACTAAAAGTCAAAAAGTCACAGCCACTTTTCTTTTTTGAAAATATGTCTCTTGAGATCAACAGAATACATACAATAGAAACCTAGAAATAAAAAGAGAAGTAATGTCATCAAGAGCATGGGGTGTCCAGGTAGCCTGCTGGTTAACATACATACCACCCAATCTCAACGTCCCCAGATCGATTCGAGCCATAAACCTTTGCCGTGTGTCATACCTATCTCTCCTCCATGTTTCCTGTCTCTCTCTACACTTCCTCTTTTGCATGATTTTGTTCTCCTAGCTGTGTGCATTACACAATACTGCAGCTAGCAAACATGGACTTTCTGTTAGAAAAGAAAACTGCATAGAAAAAAAATCTATCTTTTTTTATTAATCCCCTATCAAACAAATGATATAAAAATATACTATGTGTTTAAAACAGTGATAATCCACATTTAATATCAGTGAGTGTTAACAAGGAAATGCTGGGACTAACCTCCTCAGGCTTGCCTGCCCCTCTCTCTACTGTCTCTAAGAAGCCGTCAGAGTTCCTCCTCAATGATAATCGACCCTTCTTTGACCCCTTGGATGGGTCGGTCACCGGCTGCTTGTACACGTCCATCTGAAAGAACACATACAAGCAAAAGGTCAAAGTTAAATCAGAAGGTAGTCTACTTCCTTAAAGGCAAACTGAGTAGGATTTGTCGGTTCCTTTTTGTAAACACATGATTCAAACTTGGCCCTTTCCTCCCCGTCTCAAGCTAAATCTGTCCACAGGAAAACATTTGCACCATGTTTTGATACAGGTATTCACATTTTTTCATTCTGTATTAAGTGCTGGTCTGACTAGCAGTGTCTGTTTTTTTTGTGATCAGTGCCTGTTTTGAATATTTCGTCATTTGTTCATCCAAACATTGCACATGCCTGCAGCATTTTCCCAAGCACGACTCATGACTGTTCTTTGGCATAGAGCTTGATTAGATTAAATCCAGTATCAGGTTGAATTTCACACGATTATAACAAACCACATTTCATGAAAATCGGTTGAGAATTAACCCAGTTACAGTCTCTCAGTATTGTTAACTAGCGGATCTTGACCTCCCCAATATGGCGACTTTGCAGACATAAAGAACGCAGTATCTATGTTTCTCCATCTCTGGTCCAGACACCCTCATACAGTACGTGCTAGCCAAAGGTTGATGCCCAGAAACATCCTGAACACAGCAAACGGATAAGAAAATAAGAAAACACAGGCAGAGGATAGGGTCTCTGCAGATACAGACGCCACCACACAACAATTATATACACGTCTATGGATTGTTATTGAGACAATCCTACTCAGTGTGCCATTTAGTCTAACACAAGACCAAATCTCAAATCAACCACAAGTCTGTAAAAGTGCACCTTTAGCTGGATGAACATAAGTGCATCCAACATCAACAGACAATTCTACAACTGCACTAAAACAACCATGTTGGCTGCATGAAAGGCAAAGTTCACATGTTTTCAAGCCTGTCTTAAACAACACTCACATGCAGATATGAACATAGAAACAGTGTTCCTCCTGTTCAGGAATGACAGTTCACACTTTGAACACAAGACACAGGTTAAAGGCCAAGTAGCAACCTTTATTTAGTCTATGGAGGGTATTTGTTAATCAGAAAGGTATTTATCAAAAATCCGTTGATAATCAGTGAGGTCAGTTAATTTAATGTGAAGATCTCTTAAGCAAGGTAAAGCTGCAGAATCTAAATCAAGCCAGAACCTTCCACTCACCCCCTTGCCGTTACTCTCCACATAGCTGCACTTGAAGGCACAGCTGAGTGTATCTCTGTTGAGTTTCTGTAGCAAAGCGCTGCCACAACCAAAGAAGACGTTCTCAGCACTCCATCCTTCATCACTCAGCTTCTCAAGAATCTACAGAAAACATGGAAAGGAAGGTTTCAAACACACTATAACAGGCCTCAACATGATCTATATTGTATGTTTAAGCCAGGTAGTAAGCTTTGCTTCCTGTCAGCTCAAGGATAGGAGCTTTAGTGAATGTGTGCCAGAGCTCTAGTGCTGGCAGTGCAAGAGAAGGAATAAATATGCTGTGCATTTAAGAGCATTTTTCAGGAAAACTAAACTTTTGTTTTGAGTGTAAATCTGTCTTTTTTAAATGATAAGGTTGGCAATATTAAAGATACAAGGCTTGATTTTAATAACTGCTTTGACCATGACAAGCACACTTATTAATAGATGGATATGTTGGCTTTTAACAGAGCACAAAACATAAACAATGTGTGCTATTTAATGCATCTTAAAAAAGGGAAATACAACCTTGTTCTTGTTGTTGTAGTTTGTAAGCCATCATTCCTGTGAGTTTAACTTTAATTTTAACTATGAACTTCTGTTCTGAGATCTGTGAATTTGGTGACTTGTCACCAGTCCACGTAAGTCCACAGTTCAACTGAATTCTCTGTGACATTTACTTAGAAATTAAATGAAACTTCTCTGCACTGTAAAGCTGTGGTTAACAGTGTCGTAACTGCCCAATCTTAGCAATGAAACGTGACTAAAAAGTCATTATAAACAACGGGGATGCCAAAAGATCTTTATTACAAATATAGGACTCAGGTTGTTAAAGTTCAAAGCCCCTATGTCAAGAAACTTTTCTTGTTGTAGTCGATGTGTTGCCTGCTGTGCTGTGTGCTATTACCACTAAAACTTGTAGACACACAATAGGCTTCAATTTCTCATTTCTGTTTGGTCAATCGGTGTCCAGAATTAACTTTTTACTCACCAGCCAAGGGGACTGATAAATTTCTTTTTTAATCAGCCGGTAAAGCACATTGCCTTATATAAATAAATAAACTGCCTTTTTTGTGTCACAGGTACATTTGTTTCAGTACATTTCATTGAAATAACACAGCAAACGAGGACTACTCTCGAATCAGGGTTTTTGGGGCCTATCACTGATCGCTGTAAGTAGTCTGGCCGTTATCCATCTCAGTCTAGTTGAAGCCATCTGTTAACATGTAGCCTTATTTATTTGACTATTTCTAACAACGTATAGCCTTCCGAGATTTACTCACCAAACTTATTATAATTCTGAAAATCTACCTTCATTTGATGCTTGGCGGACGGTAATTTCAGACTCTGGTCAGAATGAATAATAGAACTGTTGTGGTAGTGTGAAAAAAGTAGTAGTAGGCGTTTCTAGTAGCTGACATAATGATCAGAACAGAAAGCGGAATCTGCAACAGGAGGGAAAACTAAAATATAATAAACTAAATAAAATGTATACACAAGATTAACCCAGACTAGTACAACAACCAACCCTTTCCTCACCTCTTCCACTGAGCAGAGGTCAATGCCGTCTCCTTGAATGATTCGTAGGTAAGAAGGCAGGACCTTGTATCCCACAGAGTTGAGGGAAGAGCCAAAACACTCCTCCAAAATCTTGATGACCTATAAGATGCATTTCATTTTATTTTGCAGTTTGATTCATACATGTGAGGGATCAGCCATGATAAGTTGGAGCAGAGTACAACCTCAGTTAATCTACAATGAATCATTTAGTAGTTGGAATCAATATAAAATGTAATAACAGAGGAGTTTCTTCGACTAATAGTCCAAGATATGACTACTATAATTACTGATCATGACTAATTCATCAACTTAAATGATTACAGCCATGCATGGTGGTGATGTACAAACATTTAAAAAGGCACATGTGAGACAAAACTTCATGTGTAAGCACAATAACTCCCACTTGGTCCAAAACTTCATTATCAGATTAAAAAACCTGTTCCGTGTTCTTCTGAATAACAGACTTTGACAGGTTCAGACATTTTCTTTACACAAGAACAACCTTCCATTTATATTCACTGCTTCCTGACTGCTGAAGTTAGATGTGAAAAGACAAAAATGTTGAAAAACAGCAGACAGCAGATAAATTTAAAAAAAGGTAACTTTATCTTTAAAAAGAACTGTTCTTAACTCTCAAACCTTGTTGTTTCCTACTTCCTGTTTTCCTGAATGTGCTAACTCATCCAGTCTGTTGGCAAAGGATTCTAAATTTGAGAGTATCATCGTATCGCCACAAGAACACCAGCCCTTCTACCACATAGGTGTGGAAACTGGACTGGTTGGGTTTGAGCTTTTCTTGCATCATAAAATGGATACTTAGAAGTCCCATTCGTTCATATTATAATGGATATCAGACGTCCTCTTCCATGACTCGGTCACTGTTCAGTCCAATAAGCAACTTGAGATGTGACCCATCTAAGTTATCAGAGAAACAAGCTG